GAGGTATCTTATCATGGACTGAGAGAGGGTACATCTGTTACGTAGTATATACTATCATACAACTGTAAAATCTTAGACTGGGAGAGAGAGAGAGAGCACATCTGTTACATAGTACATATGTTCCTACCCTGTAAAATCTTGGACTGGGGGAGAGCACAAGTTAAAACACCATAATGAGAGCACCGGGCGCAGAAGTTTAGAAGCAGCCAGTCCACCTCATCAACCAACATTGTCCACATTAACCCTCACTGATACAATAAACACCTTGTGTTGTCACCTTGGCCTCGCTCCCTAGTTATTAATAACTGACCTCACCTTTGACCTGTCTTTCTCTGATCTCAGAGTGCTCCTATGACTTACATGATAGTTTGTTTGTTTTATATAGTATGTTAGGGTATTGTAAATACCCTAGCTAATTTTGTTTATTAACAGTGATATAATAAATTTTATTTTTGGATCAAAACTAACTTAGGAACCTCATCTAACCTCCCTAAAACTAAAAAATTTGAGTCAGTGGTATTGTAAGTCAGTGGTATTGTAAGTCAGTGGTATTGTAAGTCAGTGGTATCGTAAGTCAGTGGTATTGTAAGTCAGTGGTATTGTAAGTCAGTGGTATTGTAAGTCAGTGGTATTGTAAGTCAGTGGTGTCGTAAGTCAGTGGTATTGTAAGTCAGTGGTATTGTAAGTCAGTGGTATCGTAAGTCAGTGGTATTGTAAGTCAGTGGTATCGTAAATCAGTGGTATTGTAAGTCAGTGGTATCGTAAGTCAGTGGTATTGTAAGTCAGTGGTATCGTAAATCAGTGGTATTGTAAGTCAGTGGTATTGTAAGTCAGTGGTATTGTAAGGCAGTGGTATTGTAAGTCAGTGGTATTGTAAGTCAGTGATATTGTAAGTCAGTGGTATTCGTAAGTCAGTGGTATTGTAATTTTGGGCAGTGGTATTGTAAGTCAGTGGTATTGTAAGTCTGGTATCGTAAGTCAGTGGTATTGTAAGTCAGTGGTATCGTAAGTCAGTGGTATCGTAAGTCAGTGGTATCGTAAGTCAGTGGTATTGTAAGTCAGTGGTATTGTAAGTCAGTGGTATTGTAAGTCAGTGGTATCGTAAGTCAGTGGTATTGTAAGTCAGTGATATCGTAAGTCAGTGGTATCGTAAGTCAGTGGTATCGTAAGTCAGTGGTATCGTAAGTCAGTGGTTTATCTGGTATAGTCAGTGGGTGTGAATCAAAGCATGGTAAAAGTCATGGTATGTAATCACTATCTAAGCATTATTGTAATCTGTATCTAATCATGTATTTACCATGGTACGTAAGCATATGTAAATGGTATTAACTACCAGGAAAAATGTAAGTTGTTAGTAGTCTATACGATTGTAACTTTCTAAATTTCCCCTATATGAATTCAAAATCTAAGTCTGGTATTAAATGTATCGTAAGTCAGTTGTATAAGTCTGATGAACATTATTTAGCAGTTAATCTACTGGTATCTAAGTTGTTATGTCGTAATCAGTGGTATTGTAGGGGTATCAAGCCAGTGGACTGGTTCCAAGTCAGGTATTGCGATGATGCAAGACAAATGTAATCAGGTGTTCTGTAAGTCAGTAACTGATAGTTGGTCATTGGTCAGGGTAGTAAGTCATGGTACTGCTAGCATGGCGTAGGCTGCTGCAGTGGTTCGTTCTGGTTCTATAGTGTTCGTAAGTCAGGGTATCGAGCAGGTGGTAGGGGGGAAAAAAAAACAACTGGTTAATTTATTATTTTCTATTTACTTTGCAAGACAATACAATATGAAATGCTTTTCTTAACCAGGAATTTAGTTGGTTGTACACATAAGTTCTGAGCCGCTGAGAATATAATAAAAAATTACAAATATTAGGTGTAAAAATACTTAGGATGATGACCAATTTGATTTAAACCACTGAAATGAATCTTGTTTATTGTCGCACATGCGGGAGGAATTTGTTCAAATGCCAGCGGGGCCCAACATCGTTGGATAAGCAGCAAAACCGAGATTGTTGCTTGGATCACAGAACTGGAATCAGTTGGTGCATCCAGGGAGGAGACTTGGACCTGCCTCGCATGGGCCAGTAGGCCTGCTGCAGTGTTCCTTCGTTCTTATGTTCTTATGTTCTTAAGAACCAGAGCCCGGCTGGTAGGGGGGAAAAAATGTGGTTATTTTCTTATTTTCTTTTGACTTTGGAGAAAAATATTTGGATTGTTTTCTTATATAAGTGTATTGAGTTGGTTGTACACATAAGTGTCAGAGGCCGGCGAGAAATAAGTAGGAAAAAGTGTACAAATTGTGGTGTACAACACTTTAGGATGATCACACAATGTGATTTAAACCACAGCAAGTGATTCTTGTGATTGTGAAAATGACGAGAGAGAATTTGTTTAAATATTCACGGGGAAGCGCCAAATCCGTTAGGTTCATGCAGCACCTGAGAAATTAGGAACAGGAGGGAATCAAGTTTGATCCAGGAGAGTGGATGACGCAATTCCCTGGATCATGAGCAGTTCATTGGTGTCAGGGCATCGCCCTCGGAGGGAGGGAGGTAGAGACCTAGCTAAGAGGGAGAGTTAGGTAGTGATGAAGAGGGAGAGTTAGGTAGTGATGAAGAGGGAGAGTTAGGTAGTGATGAAGAGGGAGAGTTAGGTAGTGATGAAGAGGGAGAGTTAGGTAGTGATGAAGAGGGAGAGTTAGGTAGTGATGAAGAGGGAGAGTTAGGTAGTGATGAAGAGGGAGAGTTAGGTAGCGATGAAGAGGGAGAGTTAGGTAGTGATGAAGAGGGAGAGTTAGGTAGTGATGAAGAGGGAGAGTTAGGTAGTGATGAAGAGGGAGAGTTAGGTAGTGATGAAGAGGGAGAGTTAGGTAGCGATGAAGAGGGAGAGTTAGGTAGTGATGAAGAGGGAGAGTTAGGTAGTGATGAAGAGGGAGAGTTAGGTAGTGATGAAGAGGAGAGAGGTAGTGATGAAGAGGGAGAAGTTAGGTAGTGATGAAGAGGGAGAGTAGGTAGTGATGAAGAGGGGAGGTAGTGAGAAGGGAAGTTAGGTAGTGATGAAGAGGGAGAGTTAGGTAGTGATGAAGAGGGAGAGGTAGTGATGAGAGGCGAAAGTTAGGATGTGATGAAGAGGGAGAGGTAGGTAGTGATGAAGAGGGAGAGTAGGTAGGATGAAGAGGGAGAGGTAGTGATGAAGAGGGAAAGTTAGGTAGGATGAGAGGGAGAGGTAGTGATGAAGAGGGAAAGTTAGGTGTGATGAAGAGGGAGAGTTAGGTAGTGATGAGATGGAGAGTAGGAGTGAGAAGAGGGAGGTTAGGTAGATGAGAGAGGGAGAGCTAGGATGATGAAGAGGGGAGTAGGTAGGATGAGAGGGAGAGTTAGGTAGTGATGAAGGGGAGAGTAGGTAGGATGAAGAGGGAGTTAGGTAGTGATGAGAGGGAGAGCTAGGTAGTGATGAGAGGGATGAGAGTAGGATGGATGAGAGGGGAGAGTTAGGTAGTGATGAGAGGGATGAGTAGGTAGTGATGAAGAGGGAGAGTAGGTAGTGATGAAGTAGGGAGAGTTAGGTAGGATGAAGAGGAGAGAGTTAGAGTAGTGATGGAAGAGGGAGAGTTAGGTAGTGATGAAGAGGGAGAGTTGAGTAGCTGATGAAGAGGTGAGAGTTAGGTAGTGATGAAGAGGGAGAGTAGGTAGTGATGAAGAGGTGAGAGAGGTAGTGATGAGAGGAGAGTAGGGTAGTGGATGGAGGGAGAGTTAGGTGGATGAGAGGGAGAGTTAGGTAGTGATGAGAGGGAGAGCTAGGAGTGGAGAGGAGAGAGAGAGCTAGGATGGAGAGGGAGAAGAGCTAGGGATGATGGAGAGGGATGAGAGCTAGGATGGATGGAGAGGGACTGAGAGCTAGGGATGGATGGAGAGGGACTGAGAGCTAGGGATGGATGGAGAGGGACTGAGAGCTAGGGATGGATGGAGAGGGACTGAGAGCTAGGGATGGATGGAGAGGGACTGAGAGCTAGGGATGGATGGAGAGGGACTGAGAGCTAGGGATGGATGGAGAGGGACTGAGAGCTAGGGATGGATGGAGAGGGACTGAGAGCTAGGATGGATGGAGAGGGACTGAGAGCTAGGGATGGATGGAGAGGACTGAGAGCTAGGGATGGATGGAGAGGGACTGAGAGCTAGGGATGGATGGAGAGGACTGAGAGCTAGAGATGGATGGAGAGGGACTGAGAGCTAGGGATGGATGGAGAGGGACTGAGAGCTAGGGATGGATGGAGAGGGACTGAGAGCTAGGGATGGATGGAGAGGGACTGAGAGCTAGGGATGGATGGACCGTCGAAGGAGAGAGTTAGATTGAGAGCTTGTGAAGGAGGGGTAGAGGGAGAGAGCCAGGGAAGGACGGAAGGAGGGAGGGAGAGAGGTAGGGAGGGAGTGGTGTAGAGAGCCGAGGCGGCAGCCGGTCCCCCCACACCTCTGCCAAACGTTATAACTGGCACACATGTCCCCTTCTCTGTCCTCCAAGAAGAAACGTTTTCCTTGCTTGCTGGGGGGCGCGGGAGTGGCGTGGCGGCCGCTTGACCACCAACACGCATCCATTACCCTCTAAACACATGTTCCACTCTTGCCAATAAAGTTTTAGGCTTCCTTTGTTCTGTGTGAGTGATTCCCGAGTGAGGGTGTGGGGCGGCCGCCATGCTCGCTGCTTCACCGTGTTACTGAGGCTGCCACCCGCTACCTGTGTTCATATGGTGCTCATAATACAACGTTAGCAGTGTCATTGTGCAATATATCAGTAGCATCACATGCACGTTGAGCCGCCCTGCAGCACAGGCAAAAATTTACCACAGATGTGCCTGAGCCTGGCCTGGCCCGACCACCCAATTGGTCAGATGATAGAACGGTCAGACTCTGATTGGTGCAGCCAGAGAGAGGACGCGTTCTGATTGGCTGGAAAGTGAACCGGGGTGAGGTGTGGACCAATCAGATCCTCGGCGTCCCCAGTATACATTGTTACCAGCACTGAGCGAGAAAATAAGGCATCTTAACCTCACTTTCTCCCACCTTATCGAGTCATTTGGAAATTCTAAGCATTTGGGCCTGGAGTAGGTAGAGGCTAGAAGCGGCGGGGATAGCTGCGGCAGAGCGGGCGAGGCTGGAAGGTGCGGTAAATAAGGTTGTGTTGAGAGGTGTATTGCGGGAGAGTGGTGGCAGCGGTGTGGTGGCCGCAGCCTGACGTGAGCTCCGCTGTTGTTGAGTCTCCACCATGGCCGCCGCCGCCGCTATGAAAGACCCCAGGACTTTCTTTACACAGGCCTCCTCGGCTCAGTTCGAATATGTGTATAACCTGTACGAGGAGGCGGTCAAGCTGAAGGCCGAGCAGAAGAACAAGAAGCCCGAGGAGTTCCTCAAGCTGGACAAATGGTAAGCCGGGAGAGAAAATAAGCTTTAGCGTGTCATTGAACCTTACTTTGTGTGTGCTGGCCGCCTCTTGCCCCTCTCTCACACTCAAACCTCCAACTTTTTGTATTTCCCGCCCGCTGGAGGTATGTGCGGGCGTGTGTGTGGTGGTGTGGAGGTGGTGCGAGTGTGGGACCGCCCGCACGCCCACGCCCGCTGCTCCAGATGTGGCAACGCCGCGCACCCCGTCACCCTTTAGACATATTTCTGAGTATTTGTGACAAGTTTGTGAGTGTTTGTGTGAGGGTGAGCACGTGTGTGAGTGCACGTGTGTGGGTGCACGTGGCAAGGCGCGGGCGTGAGTGTGGGCGTGGGGGTAGGGGTGTGAGGGAGGCCAGCACGCGGCACGCGGCCCCCCAGTCTCACTCATGCTGCTGCTGTGATGATGCTGTCTTGTGCTGTGATGCTGTCTTGTGTAGTGATGCTGTGATGCTGTCTTGTGCTGTGATGCTGTCTTGTGTAGTGATGCTGTGATGCTGTCTTGTGCTGTGATGCTATGATGATGCTGTCTTGTGTAGTGATGTGATGATGCTGTCTTGTGTAGTGATGCTGTGATGCTGTCTTGTGTAGTGATGCTGTGATGATGCTGTCTTGAGTAGTGATGATGCTGTCTTGTGTAGTGATGCTGTCTTGTGAAGTGATGATGCTGTCTTGTGTAGTGATGCTGTGATGCTGTCTTGTGTAGTGATGCTGTGATGATGCTGTCTTGTGTAGTGATGCTGTGATGATGCTGTCTTGTGTAGTGATGCTGTGATGATGCTGTCTTGTGTAGTGATGCTGTGATGCTGTCTTGTGTAGTGATGCTGTGATGCTGTCTTGTGTAGTGATGCTGTGATGCTGTCTTGTGTAGTGATGCTGTGATGATGCTGTCTTGTGTAGTGATGATGCTGTCTTGTGTAGTGATGCTGTGATGATGCTGTCTTGTGAAGTGATGATGCTGTCTTGTGTAGTGATGCTGTGATGCTGTCTTGTGTAGTGATGCTGTGATGATGCTGTCTTGTGTAGTGATGCTGTGATGATGCTGTCTTGCGTAGTGATGCTGTGATGATGCTGTCTTGTGTAGTGATGCTGTGATGATGCTGTCTTGTGTAGTGATGCTGTGATGATGCTGTCTTGTGTAGTGATGCTGTGATGATGCTGTCTTGTGAAGTGATGATGCTGTCTTGTGTAGTGATGCTGTGATGATGCTGTCTTGTGTAGTGATGCTGTGATGCTGTCTTGTGTAGTGATGCTGTGATGATGCTGTCTTGTGTAGTGATGCTGTGATGATGCTGTCTTGTGTAGTGATGCTGTGATGATGCTGTATTGTGAAGTGATGATGCTGTCTTGTGTAGTGATGCTGTGGTGATGCTGTCTTGTGAAGCGATGATGCTGTCTTGTGTAGTGATGCTGTGATGATGCTGTCTTGTGTAGTGATGCTGTCTTGTGTAGTGATGCTGTGATGATGCTGTCTTGTGTAGTGATGCTGTGATGCTGTCTTGTGTAGTGATGCTGTGATGATGCTGTCTTGTGTAGTGATGTCTTGTGAAGTGATGATGCTGTCTTGTGTAGTGATGCTGTGATGATGCTGTCTTGTGAAGTGATGATGCTGTCTTGTGTAGTGATGCTGTGATGATGCTGTCTTGTGTAGTGATGCTGTGATGCTGTCTTGTGTAGTGATGCTGTGATGCTGTCTTGTGAAGTGATGATGCTGTCTTGTGTAGTGATGCTGTGATGATGTCTTGTGAAGTGATGATGCTGTCTTGTGTAGTGATGCTGTGATGCTGTCTTGTGTAGTGATGCTGTCTTGTGTAGTGATGCTGTCTTGTGTACTGATGCTGTGATGCTGTCTTGTGTAGTGATGCTGTCTTGTGTAGTGATGCTGTCTCGTGTAGTGATTCTGTGATGATGCTGTCTTGTGTAGTGATGCTGTGATGATGCTGTCTTGTGTAGTGATGATGCTGTTAGGTAAGACACATATGCAACAGTTAGGTATCTTTATTTTAGTGATGCTGTCTTGTGTAGTGATGCTGTGATGATGCTGTCTTGTGTAGTGATGCTGTGATGCTGTCTTGTGTAGTGATGCTGTGATGATGCTGTCTTGTGTAGTGATGCTGTGATGCTGCTGTCTTGTGTAATGCTGTGATGATGCTGTCTTGTGTAGTGATGCTGTGATGCTGTCTTGTGTAGTGATGCTGTGATGATGCTGTCTTGTGTAGTGATGCTGTCTTGTGTAGTGATGCTGTGATGCTGTCTTGTGTAGTGATGCTGTGATGATGGTGTCTTGTGTAGTGATGCTGTCTTGTGTAGTGATGCTGTGATGATGCTGTCTTGTGTAGTGATGATGCTGTCTTGTGTAGTGATGCTGTGATGCTGTCTTGTGTAGTGATGCTGTGATGATGCTGTCTTGTGTAGTGATGCTGTGCTGTCTTGTGTAGTGATGCTGTCTTGTGTAGTGATGCTGTGATGATGCTGTCTTGTGTAGTGATGCTGTGATGCTGTCTTGTGTAGTGATCCTGTGATGCTGTCTTGTGTAGTGATGCTGTGATGATGCTGTCTTGTGTAGTGATGCTGTGATGATGCTTTCTTGTGTAGTGATGCTGTGATGCTGTCTTGTGTAGTGATGCTGTGATGCTGTCTTGTGTAGTGATGCTGTGATGATGCTGTCTTGTGTAGTGATGCTGTGATGATGCTGTCTTGTGTACTGATGCTGTGATGCTGTCTTGTGTAGTGATGCTGTCTTGTGTAGTGATGCTGTCTCGTGTAGTGATGCTGTCTCGTGTAGTGATGCTGTCTCGTGTAGTGATGCTGTCTCGTGTAGTGATTCTGTGATGCTGTCTTGTGTAGTGATGCTGTGATGATGCTGTCTTGTGTAGTGATGCTGTGATGATGCTGTCTTGTGTAGTGATGCTGTCTTGTGTAGTGATGCTGTGATGCTGTCTTGTGTAGTGATGCTGTGATGCTGTCTTGTGTAGTGATGCTGTGATGCTGTCTTGTGTAGTGATGCTGTGATGCTGTCTTGTGTAGTGATGCTGTGATGATGCTGTCCTGTGTAGTGCTGTGATGATGCTGTCTTATGTAGTGATGCTGTGATGATGCTGTCTTGTGTAGTGATGCTGTCTTGTGTAGTGATGCTGTCTTGTATAGTTAGTGATGCTGTGATGATGCTCTCTTGTATAGTTAGTGATGCTGTTTTGTATAGTGATGCTGTGTTTTGTTTAGTGTTGCTGTCTTGTATAGTTAGTGATGCTGTGATGATGCTGTTTTGTATAGTTAGTGATGCTGTATTGTATAGTTAGTGATGCTGTCTTGTATAGTTAGTGATGCTGTGATGCTGTCTTGTGTAGTTAGTGATGCTGTCTTCTGTAGTTAGTGATGCTGTCATGTATAGTAAGTGATGCTCTGATGATGCTGTCTTGTATAGTGATGCTGTCTTGTATAGTTAATGATGCTGTCTTGTATAGTTAGTGATGCTGTCTTGTGTAGTTAGTAATGCTATGATGATGCTGTCTTGTATAGTTAGTGATGGTCTTGTATAGTTAGTGATGCTGTCTTGTGTAGTTAGTGATGCTGTCTTGTGTAGTTAGTGATGCTATGGTGATGTTGTCTTGTGTAGTTAGTGATGCTGTCTTGTGTAGTTAGTGATGCTATGATGATGTTGTCTTGTATAGTTAGTGATGCTGTCTTGTGTAGTTAGTGATGCTATGATGATGTTGTCTTGTATAGTTAGTGATGCTGTCTAGTATAGTTAGTGATGCTGTCTTGTGTAGTTAGTGATGCTATGATGATGCTGTCTTGTATAGTTAGTGATGCTGTCATGTATAGTTGGTGATGCTGTGATGATGCTGTCTTGTATAGTTAGTGATGCTGTGATGATGCTGTCTTTTATAGTTAGTGATGCTGTGATGCTGTCTTGTATAGTTAGTGCTGTGATGATGCTGTCTTGTATAGTTAGTGCTGTGATGCTGCTGCTGTGATGATGCTGTCTTGTGTAGTTAGTGCTGTGATGATGCTGTCTTGTGTGGTGGTGGTGCTGCTGTAATGATGCTATCTTGTGTAGTTAGTGCTGTGTTGTGATGCTGCATTGTGTAGTAGTGCTGCTGCTGTGATGCTGTCTTGTGTAGTAGTGCTGCTGCTGTGATGCTGCCCTGTGTAGTTAGTGTGCTGTGCTGTGATGCTGTCTTGTGTAGTTAGTGCTATGATGCTGCTGCCTTGTGTAGTTAGTGTTGTGCTGTGATGCTGTCTTGTGTAGTTAGTGTTGTGCTGTGATGCTGTCTTGTGTAGTTAGTGTGCTGTTCTGTGATGATGCTGTTTTGTGTAGTTAGTGTGCTGTTCTGTGATGCTATCTTGTGTAGTTAGTGTGCTGTTCTGTGATGATGCTGTCTTGTGTAGTTAGTGTGCTGTTCTGTGATGATGCTATCTTGTGTAGTTAGTGTGTTGTGATGTTGCTGTTTCTGTGGTGTTTAGTGTGCTGTGATAATGCTCTTTTGTGTTGTTAGTGTTCTGTGTTGTGTAATGGTGTGATGCTGCTGTGTTGTGTAGTACTGTGATGCGTAGTGGGCTGTGATGATGATGTCTTTTGTAGTGTGCTGTGATACTGCAGTATGTGTAGTGTGCTGTGATACTGCAGTATGTGTAGTGTGCTGTGATACTGCAGTATGTGTAGTGTGCTGTGATACTGCAGTATGTGTAGTGTGCTGTGATACTGCAGTATGTGTAGTGTGCTGTGATACTGCAGTATGTGTAGTGTGCTGTGATACTGCAGTATGTGTAGTGTGCTGTGATACTGCAGTATGTGTAGTGTGCTGTGATGCTGCAGTATGTGTAGTGTGCTGTGATGCTGCAGTATGTGTAGTGTGCTGTGAAGCTGCAGTATGTGTAGTGTGCTGTGATGCTGCAGTATGTGTAGTGTGCTGTGATGCTGCTGCTGTTGTGCAGTGGTGCTTCTGTGTTGTGTATTGTGTTACGTGCTGTGTTATGTAGTG